CGTAGAACACGAGAGGCTGAGATGCGATAATGATACTCTCCCCTTGTTGTGTTGTTGACGACTGTGTGAGACTGAAGAAGCGGTGATCTTGATACACACCGTGATCACTGAAGGCTGTCGTTATTACCACTTGGTGAGCAGTAAAGGCCCTCACGTGCTCAGGGTCACCGTGGTCACCATGCTGGCCACCACACCATGCTGGCCACCACACCATGCTGGCCACCACACCATGCTGGCCACCACACCACCCACCATACTCTATCCTCCCTCACCACCACCATTACTCTTACCAACAGCTATAACCCCAAGCCTACCATAACGGATACGCGTCACCAGTCACTCGCCACTAGCCAGTAACCGGCCATTAGTCAGACAGTCACTGATAATGACTGGGGGAGTATTGTTTGAGCCTAGAATAGAGTGTAAAAGATAGTTAATACACTTACTTAAATAACTAACTTAAATGTAATAAAGTATCATAGTTAAGATCAGATTAAGAAGACTCCAGTTAGTGTGTTTCTTGACTGATGAGGTAAACAAACATCTTGACACTCTTGCCTCCGGGTGTTTGTACCACCACCCTATACCAAGCTCCTCACCACCCCACCGGTCCACCCCACTCACCACCCACCACACCACTCACCACTCACCACCTACCACCTCATCATCCACCACCCACATCACCCCACTCACCACCCACCACACCACTCACCACTCACCACCTACCACCTCATCATCCACCACCCACATCACCCCACTCACCACCCACCACACCACTCACCACTCACCACCTACCACCTCATCATCCACCACCCACATCACCCCACTCACCACCTACCACCTCATCATCCACCACCCACATCACCCACCACCTCATCCAACAGTGTCTCGTGAGGTATTAAAATCAGTTACCGATCATAATAAAAAAAAATTAAACACACGGCCATTAGCATAATGTGTTGTCTAATGGTAGACCCTGCTGCCATATGGCACCAAGTCCCAGGTTGCTGATCTGACTTTCCGCCTCATTTACACACAATTGCAGGGTCTCAATTGTTTCTCTTACTCTGACAAAACAACATACATATATTGTTTCTTAATCTTGATCTTCTTCTTTTTATTATTATTATTATTATTATTATTATTATTATTATTATTATTATTATTATTATAGAGAGAGAGATTGAAAGGGAAAGACAGACAGCGAAAGAGACAGACAAATCGAGAAAGACAGACAGAAAGGAAAAACAGACAGACTGACAGACAGACATAGAGACAGACAGACAGACAGAGAGACATAGAGACAGAGCACCCCGGGTATATACAGGAAGGTCAGTATCCTGGAAGGTGAGAGAGGCCTCCAGGCACCTATCAGTACCCAGGGAAGTCCAGGACGCTCGATACCTCACCACAGGAAATGCCAAAGACAACTTCTTTCCCCCCTCCTTCCTTCCCCCCTCCTTCTTTCCCCCCTCCTTCCTTCCCCCCTCATTCCTTCCCCCTCCTTCTTTCCTCTCCACTATCACCCTGCTTTCCCTCTCACCCTTCTTTCCTTCCCTCTCATCCTTCCTCTTCCTCCCTCTCACTTTTCCTCCACCTTCCCTCTCATCCTCCTCCTCTCCTTCCCATCACCCACCCACCCCCCATCTCTAGTAGCTGAGACCAGGGAAAGAGAGAGAGAGACACACAGACAGACAGACAGACAGAGGGAGGGGGGAGAGAGAGAGACAGTCAGACAGACAGACAGAGGGAGGGAGGGAGAGGACAGACAGACAGACAGACAGACAGACAGACAGACAGACAGACAGAGAGAGGGAGGGAGAGAGAAAGACAGACAGACAGACAGACAGAGATAGATGGAGAGAGAGACAGATAGACATACAGACAGACAGACAGACAGACAGACAGACAGAGGAGGGAGGGAGAGAGAGAGAGACAGCAGACAGACAGACAGAGGGAGGGAGGGAGAGAGGACAGTCAGACAGACAGACAGACAGAGAGAGGGGAGGAGAGAGAGAAAGACAGACAGACAGACAGACAGAGATAGATGGAGAGAGAGACAGATAGACATACAGACAGACAGACAGACAGACAGACAGAGAGGGAGGGAAGGAAAGAGAGAGAGACAGACAGAGAGGGAGGGAGAGAGAGAGAGGGACAGACAGACAGAGAGGGATGGAGAGAGAGACAGATAGACAGACAGGCAGACAGAGAGGAAGGGAGGGAAAGAGAGACAGACAGACAGACAGACAGACACAGACAGAGAGAGAGAGAGAGAGCGGGACAGACAGACAGACAGACAGACAGTCAGACAGGTTGTAACAGGACCTGGTCGCCCCTTCTGGGTTTTCCTGAAGGTTGTGTGACCGTCTCTCACCTTCCCCCTTTTCTATTTCTCTCTCTTTCTGTCTCTTAGTCTATCTCTCTTTATATGTCTCTCTGTTGGTATCTCTCTCTTTATCTCTCAGTATCTCTCTGTTGGTATATCTCTCTTTATCTCTCAGTATCTCTCTGTTGGTATCTCTCTCTTTATCTCTCAGTATCTCTCTGTTGGTATCTCTCTCTTTATCTCTCAGTATCTCTCTGTTGGTATATGTCTGTTTGTTAGATGATGATGATGAGTATAACGTGTGTGTGTAGAGAGAGAGAGAGAGAGAGAGAGAGAGAGAGAGAGAGAGAGAGAGAGAGAGAGAGAGAGAGAGAGAGAGAGAGAGAGAGAGAGAGAGGGGGGGGGCACTGTACCGAAAGGTCACAGTAAGGGCGGCGGAAATGTCTGTCTTTTAAGGAATTTATAAAAGACTGCAAATAATATTGGAACACATTTTTACTCACATTGTTTTAGTATTATTAGTGTATGTTTGTTTTGTGTGTTTGTTAGTGTATGTTTATATGGCTGTGTGTTTGTTAATGTGTGTGTGTTCGTTAGTGTCTGTGTTTGTGTGTTTATTTGTATGTTCGTTACACTGTTGCCAACTCGGAGATTTCAACGATAGCATAGCAAGTTATCTTAGAGAGGTTGAGACGCACAGAATCCCTCCAAATCCTGCACCTCCCTCTGCTATACTCTCCCCCTGCTATACCGTCCCCTGCTATACCCTCCCCCTGCTATACCCTCCCCTGCTCCACGTCACCTGTAAACAGTAACATGGGGACTTATCGTCAACAGGAAGTATGGTTGACATCCTCCCCCGGGGCACTTTGTTGAATGTAACGTCGCTAATAAGTGTATGAGGGTAGAGGAAGGTGGGTGGGCGTGAGGCTATATGCTAGCTAGACGGAAGGAAGGAAGGAAGGAAGGAAGGAAGATGGAAGGAAGGAAGGAAGGAAGGAAGATGGAAGACGGAAGGAAGGAAGGATGAAAGACGGAAGGAAGGAAGGATGAAAGACGGAAGGAAGGAAGGAAGGATGAAAGACGGAAGGAAGGAAGGATGAAAGACGGAAGGAAGGGAGGAAAGATTTATTGAAGTAAAAAGAAAGAATGAATGAAAAAACGAAAGAAAGAAGAAAAGAAGGAAGGAAATAAAGAAGGAAGAGAGTAAAACAGAAAAAATGAACGAAAGAATGAAGGAAAAAGGGAAGAAAGAAAGGAAGTAAAACAGAAAGAATGAACGAAAGAATGAAGGAAAAAGGGAAGAAAGAAAGGAAGTAAAATAGAAAGAATGAACGAAAGAACGAATGAAAGAAGGAAGGCACCAACAAAGTCTTACCACATGATAGAAGTTTTCAATAACCCATAAACCTAAACTGATCAGACATACTAAACTGACTTCATTATTAATCTCGAGAGAGTTGTGTTCTGTGTACCTGTGTCGACAACTACGATAGATCGGTGGTAACATTCGCCTCACTTAACATAATTCAAAGCCAGTCAGTCAAGTGCAGGGTCAAGAACAACACACTTTAAATGGTTATGTCTCCTACAACTGTGACATATCCGGGAAAAATTTATTATGGTATGTAATTTTTTTTCGTTAAATTTATTGTATTTTTAGAGGTATTTGGTATGAGATGAGATACTGTGTGTGTGTGTGTGTGTGTGTGTGTGTGTGTGTGTGTGTGTGTGTGTGTGTATTGTAGTTTCCCCTACACTTCAACCTTGTAAGATATGTAGTCATTAGATTAACTTTTCAATCACGTAAAAAACAAACATGTACAGTAAGTGGCAGCAACAACAAATTATGACTCACTCATGACAACACTGGTCCTGGATTGGCCAGCCATCCTGTGACCCAAATACCAATTCCGTTTTAACACAACTGTCAGGTCGCTTCACTTCCGGGGCTAATGTTACCGTGCATGGTCGTTCGTTATAATCTCACTCCTGTACTGAAAAGGGAAGGAGTATGATAAAAAAATAAGAATCAGGGAGACTTGTGGGTTTGTTTTTCATGTTCCAAATGTTGCCATGACACCTGATGCGTCCTAATGCTTATACGAGTCTCTCTCGGAGAGACTCTCAGAGGATAAGGCCTGCATTTTAACTAACTCCATCGTCCTTGAGGAGAGGATGAGCAGGAGGGTTCTGTGTTTTCTTCTTCTTCTTCTTCTTGCCTTTCCCATCCTTCTCCTCCGTGTCTTCTCCCTCTTCCTCCCTTCTCCTCCCTGCCTTCTCCCTCCTCCTCTTCCCTGCCTTCGCCCTGTTCCTCCGTGCCCTCGTCCCCCTCTTCCAGCTCCCCTCCTCCTCCCCCTCCCCCTCATCCTCCCTGCCCTCCCACCTCTCTTCCTCACCGCCCATACCAGCACCCGCCACCCTCCACTCTCGACAGATCCTATAAAAACGAATCGATCAATAATTTTCGTTAAACGATAAATATGATCATGAGAGCAGATCTAACACAACCTTACACAACTCTACACAAAACAAACTATTGGCTGTTGAATTTAGCAAAATACTATTTGCTTATGAGTCGGATAAATGCCAATTAATCTAGGAAAAATGATTCTTAAGGGAGGACGCACGTGAACGGGTGAGAGGGTAGACCGGAGCGGACTCTCACAGCCTGGCTTCAGCTTCAGTGTGTATTGGGTCGTGGTGGTGAGAGGTTGTGTGCTACGCTCTGTGCTACGCCTGCCTGTGTTAACTTCTCTAAACTTCTCTTCTTTTCTTGGGAATTAATACACCACATCAGGTAAGACGGTCACTGTTCCATTACCTTAAACTTTCTTCCTAGTTTATGGTTTTGTAACTCGTATGTAAGAGAAAACAATTATATGAGTGTAATGAAGTGGTATTACTTTAACGCCACAAACTGTGTCATGGTGAAGGGAGAAGGAATAATGTTTAATGAAGGACTAAAGACAGTCATGAGGACAGCTGAGGCTACCTGAGTGAATTTTATTGATTGATAAGTCATTAATAACACGTGTGGGGTATTGTGATGAGTCATTCTTGCTAACGCTGGGACAAGCACCGCCTCACACAAACATGCATACATACAATTACATGGACACACACACACACACACACACACACACACACACTAATTAACCTACATTGAGCGCACACTAAACAAGTGACCAATAAAATTCACTGCAAAGGAATTAGTCTCGTAATATATAACGTAAATAAAAGTTCATCTTCAGTGTGTGTGTGTGTAAGGAGAATATAACCCAAGAGAGAGAGAGACATATGATATCTCTAGGGGGGTTCCGGACCACCTCCCCCCCCCTCATATTCCTGGATCCGCCCCTGTAACGTGGAATAAGAACATGATATATTGTGACCTTATATTGATTACGATATTAGGAATGACTTCTATTTCTTTCTGTATCTTCTTGTTTCACTTTATCAATCTATCTCCTTCCCTCTCTCATCTAACCAATGTATATAAGTATCCCCAGAAACACAAGCAGGAAAAATAAGCAATCTTTAAAATATACATACTGTACATATACATGCATAACGAGGTGCGGGGTCCTCACTTCACACTGCTGGAAGACAAAGAAAACGAAGATGGGTCGGTGTGAAGTTGCGGCCCCAAAACCAGTACAGGGAATGGACGCGATAATACCCAACAGTGTAGCGACGCACGACAGCAATATGTCCGCCTTTCACCTCTTTGTTGTACTCTCTTAACCTCTCGTTGTTGATCAATCTCTTGTTAACATATTGTGAAATGGGCGAGGTTAGGTTAGGTTAGGTTAAGTTACATTAGACTGACATTTAAAGAGCAGTTGTAGTGTATAGATGAATTTTATCACACCATTTAATTTATACATTCATGGTAATTATCTACATCAGTTTATTCTCAAAAGTCAAACATTTTCCAAAAGCTCAGAAAAAGTAATTGGCTATTTTAAACCGGATAGAAAATTAGACAAGAAAGAGGTCTTTATTATCTCCCTCCCCATGTAGCCTAACCTTCGGAGGGCTTAAGGTAGGTGGAAGGAACAACTCGGTTAACAAGGTCAGTGGAGGGGTCAAAGTCTGTTCCTTTGTCTGTCTGGTATAGTGAAGAAGGTAGTCATCACGTGTACCTTTGTAGTGGTGTTACTGAGTGCTTCTGTTCCTTCCTTCATCAGGAAGTGAGTACGGTTCTATTGCCGAATTCTAATAATTGTTTACAGTTCGTGACCCTGACTTAAATGGTAATGACATATAGTTATGTTGTTGAGAGGTTCTAACTTGCCTACAGCCCTGACAATAATTCCGGGGAATATTACCTATGGCTACCTGTGATAATATGACCTCGCTCGTGGATCAACATTCCTGAATCTGTTTGAATATTTTTTTTGTTTTTTTATCTAGGGAAGGAAATAGTCTTTTAGATCCTTTCTGTCATCGCGTCCTTGTTCAACCTGTCTATATGTCCCGTATAGGATTTTGAGGATACTTGGTGAACATAAGATGAATCCTATTTTACTCACGAGCCATCAATTAATCAGAGACTAGCGTTCGTCTCCTTCAGTACATACAGATACAAACTGTGGTACGTGCCTGAAGTTCTGAGTCACTGAACTGTGATGAGGAAAGTGTGTTTGGATTTCATTTGTTTACTATTAGTTTATCGGAGACCAGGTGGGCGACGTATAGCTCAAGTTTATACGATTGTTAACAGTTTACACACACACGCGCACACACACACACACACACACACACACTCAGGTTAATGATGTAGGTTTGTTTTAAGTCAATACAGGTAATTATTTGACGACTACACACCTGGACCTGATGATTACGGTTGTGCATAAGGAAACTGTTGAGGCAGCGGGTGAATAATAACAACACAGGGAAAGTAGAAAACATGGGAGGAGAACCAGATGGGTGACTGATGGTAATTCTGAGGCGGGTGAGGGGGTGTACCAGAGGCCATTAATATTCACCCAGTTATTATTCATGAGTTGTTAAATATACACCATTTTTTTATCACATATCTTGTCAAAGTTTCGTGTTGATAGTTAAGTGATAATTAAGCTGAATCCTTTAACTATCTTCAATACTGTAATTACCTTCTTTGCCACGGATAGATAGATGGGTAGTAAATAGATATATAGTAGATACGAAGAAAGATAGATAAAATGCTTTCCAATTTTGATGCTGGAAAGTGACTAAGGTAAGCATAAAGGGTACGGGGAGACAACGCCATCTGGCAACACACACACATACTACATAATTGTGAAAGAAGTTGTGTTTGGTTGACCACACTATATACAGATGGTGTTAACATTTAGCGGGAGTTCGTAAACCTAATACTGAAATCTGTCAACTTAAATTATAGGTGATGCTCTTACTCGGTTGTCATCATCCTATCACCAATAATGTGTTTGAAATATTGGAATTACTTCTTTTTTTTGGGGGGGGGGTGTTTCTGTAGATTTTAGAAGACAATAAAGGATATTTTTCTAGTCACCTCGGGAAGATTAGCAGTTTTAGAAGGGGGGGGGGGTGCCCATATGTTGAGGTCTGGGCTGCTTCACACGTTAAGTTGTTACGCCTGGATCATAGCCCGGGAGAGTCTCAGACGGTCTCCACACCTCACAGTCCTCACCACACCTTCGCTGACCTGTTTCCACGACTCGATTGCTCTTTTTCATTCACATACTCGTAAGTGTATCTACCCTCAGTTTTATTAATGTTTAACAGGTTCATTAGACTGGGGGGTTCATCGTCTCTAGTTAGTTTTATAAATACTACACTTGATTACCCACCAGAACAGCTGACGTAACGGGAGTGTGTTTATACTGTTGCACCGGGTTGTTCACAGACTTACAATGGTTTTAACTTCTTGCTGTGATCGCTGTACCTTCAGGCTGTGTTCGCGTTTATCATTCTCATCCCGTTAACGGCCCAGGGCAGCTTGACCCATATAGTTCACTCCTAGACGGTAGACACACACACACACACACACACACACTGTCACAGAATTTCGGCCATTTTGTAAAACCTCTGAAGAACACAATCATGATGCTGTAATATAAAGGTAACCATGGTGAGCAGAAACGACTTTTTATAAGGTAAAGTAAAAGTCTATGTTGTTTATTGTGTTAGAAGTTATGGTTTAATTATATAACGCTTAGTTTTATGTAACTTACTTAAACAATGATGTCCGGATGATACAAATGTCCGGATGATCTCTAAGTAATAAATCTAGATGTCTGTCTGTCTGTCTGTCTAGCAATAACTGAATATATTTAATGTTGTGGTAACGGTGCTGCTCACCCCACTGACCTACTGCGGCCACCTGTCTCTCCGCCGCAACCACGGAACATCTCCACCACAACCACGGAACATCTCCACCACAACCACGGAACATCTCCACCACAACCACGGAATATCTCCACCACAACCACGGAACATCTCCACCACAACCACGGAACATCTCCACCACAACCACGGAACATCTCCACCACAACCACGGAACATCTCCCGGTTAATACTTGTGACTATATTCTCCAGTAATTAGTAACGTCTGTACGTATGTTCCCTGGCTAACTGTTAACACGTGTGGTGATCCTCTCGTTAACCCTGGGACCGTAACAATGTGAGCTTAATCATCATGGTAATAAATCTAAGAAGAAGGTCCTCTCGCCTCCTGAATCCCGAGATTCAGACTCGTAAACCCGAAGCAGTAGACACTGATGTATTATTCTGTCCATAAATGCTTCAGATTCATGAGTCTGAATTCGAGGGTTCGTGATTCTGGAGGAGAGGCGAGAGGAGCTTTGTGGGTGACTGACTATACCTCGGGTCAACTAGTTACATGTGTTCTAACGTATTCAATTAGTGGAAAGTTTAGCTTATGGATTGTTAAGACAGTAAGCACAGTCTCCAACAGCCTCGAGGTGTGCAGTAATGTAGGCGATGACCCGCATTGTTAGCAGGAAACACTCTTTCCTTAGGGTCAGAGCTGCGACGCTGCCACATGTCTTTTCATCAGTTTTCGAATCAGTGGACGAGGGGCACAATTATGATGTGGTATATCTCGACTTTAGCAAAGCCTTCGACAGAGTCCCCCACGAAAGACTAATTAGAAAGGTAGAAGCTCATGGCATCAAAGGTGACATCCTTAAATGGATTAGGGCGTGGTTACAGGACAGGAAACAGCGAGTGAGCATTAACGGCACTAAGTCCCATTGGAGCAACGTCACAAGTGGAGTTCCCCAAGGCTCAGTACTTGGACCATTATTATTTATTATATACATAAACGACATAGATATCGGCATAGACAGCAACATAAGCAAATTTGCTGATGACACTAAAATAGGACGTGTTATTAAATCTGACGAGGACTCGCAAAACTACAGGAAGATCTAAACAAATTTTTCGAATGGTCTGAAAAATGGCAGATGAAATTCAACGTGGACAAATGTAAAGTACTCAGTATAGGAGATGTAAACAGGGAAACCAGATACCAGATGAACAACGATGCCATAGAGAAATCCGACTGCGAGAGAGATTTAGGAGTAATGATAAGTAGGAACCTTAAGCCAAGTAAACAATGTGTTTTTGCTCGTAACAAGGCTAATAAAGTACTTGGGTTCATACAAAGGAGTGTTAGTTACAAGACTAGCGAGGTCATCCTAAAACTGTATCTTGCTCTTGTGAGACCACACCTGGATTACGCAGTTCAGTTCTGGTCACCGTATTACAGAATGGATATAGAATCCTTGGAAAGAATTCAGAGGAGAA